ACCAAATGACAAAACAACTGAATAATTCAAAGCTTACATTAAGTTTGCCCTTCACTTTTGACCGAAGAATTTTACATTTTGAATATTTAAAAATCGTAGCTTCATCGGAATGGTACGAAACTTGGTGACCTTTATGGCACTTGGTATGAGAACACACAATAAAAAAATTGAGGGCATGATTCGAAAAATCTAAGTGCTCGTAATTACCAAAACCATTAACCATTAAGATCATCATTCAAAAACATTGAAGGTTGAAACTAAAGTGATTTTTATTTTGGTCACCAAATGACAAAACAACTGAATAATTCAAAGCTTACATTAAGTTTGCCCTTCACTTTTGACCGAAGAATTTTACATTTTGAATATTTAAAAATCGTAGCTTCATCGGAATGGTACGAAACTTGGTGACTTTTATGGCACTTGGTATGAGAACACACAATAAAAAAATTGAGGGCATGATTCGAAAAGTCTAAGTGCTCGTAAAAAAAATAGTCACACTCATGGTCTTCGGTCAAAAATGTCCGACCATAGGAAATGAATGGGAAATGGTAAAAAAAATTGAAAATACAGAAAATGTACAATCTACAAATCCCCCACGATGCAGAAAGAAATTGCACAGCAATGAAGGGGTGAAACTCGAAAACATCTAGAGTGCAAAATCAACACACCCACTCACACACGTGCGGACACACACATGCACACACCCTTATGAACTGGTGTGCCTGTAACACAGCAACTATGTAAAATAAAATCAATAATTCAACTACAATTTAGTAAAAAAGTGGACAGCAAGGAAGGGGTTACACTCTAAAACATCAAGAGTGCAAAAACAGACACATCCACTCACACACACTCACTTGCACACACTCACAGACACACACACACACACACACACACACACACACACACAATTATACACACTCAAATTAATTGGTATGGCTTTAACCATATAGACAAAACGAGTCAGAAAAATGAAATAAGAGGTTAAAATCAGATCGGGCCCAGAAGAATTAAGCTCTGATAAAGCATTCCTGTTTATTTTTGTTACATTTTTATAGAATTGTAATGTTTTGTATAACAAAATGCTTTATTCAGGTTTGACTGTAGTATTAAAGGGGCCATATGATGCGATTTCAATTTTTCCTTTCTCTTTGGAG